CGGCGGCCTTATTAGCACTACAAGATGTTCAAGAGGTTAGCAAGAGGGATCAGTTTCTTATGAAATTACTAACCGAATTTGAAGTGGTCAGGGTTGGTTTATTGAATCGTGATCCTGTTCCTTCTTTGAATGTGTGCCTAGGTGAACTTTTACGTAAGGAACGACAACCCAAACTACTATTGGAGTTGATTTCTCTTCTTCTAATGTTGCCCGCAGGGGTAAACTACAGTGTCTTAGCTGCAAATGATACGGGCATATTGCTCGTAATTGTCCTCTCCATTACAGGTTAGTGCATGTTTCTTGGAGGTGCACTAATTTCCTGGCGCAGCAAGAAATGGGATCGTGTCTCTAAATCTTCCACTGAGTCCGAGTATCGTGCTGTCTTCTGCCTGTTCTAAGATTGTTTGGCTACGAGGTCTTCTATCGGAGCTTGGTTGTCCTCAACTTAGGCCTACTCCACTTTATGTTGATAAAACTAGTGACGTTCAAATTGCTGCTAATCCTGTGTTTCATGAGCGCACTAAACACATTGAAGTAGATTGACACTCTTCGTAAGGCTTATGATAGTCATATTATTTCCCTTCCACACATCATCACCGATGTTCAGATTGCTGACGTATTTACTAAGGCAATGATACGACAACATCATCAGTTTTTTGTTGGCAACTTGATGCTTCTTGATCACCCAACATCAATTTGAGGGGGATGTCAATTAGATTGAAGATTGACAAGAATTACGAAGATTGCATCTACTATAAATATCTATTCAATTGATTGGAAATTATTATGTCTAATTAATCTCTCCGACGGAAATGAAGAGGAAAAACAGCCGACCCTTCAACATGTAGAAAATCGCCTGCAACTTCTCTCCCAAGAATCTAAAGTTTTAATTTCAAGGTTTATTAGATGGAAGAAGATAAAACCGGCCTCACGCCACTCACACAGCCACTCTGTCAGGCGGCGGCCCTAGGTGGAAACCCTAGCGCCGCCGCCCCAGATCTGCAGGTTCCCGGCCCCTCCTCAGTACACGCGCCTGACAGGTGGACTGGGGTGGGGATTCCGACTTGGGGGGGTGGTCTGGGAGGACCACGCGCCGTGCCGGTGCGTGACCTCCACGCGCCGGCGACTGGGAAACAGAAAATGCTCCAGGAGGTCCCCGGTCCAGCCACGGCACCTATTCTGCCATTAGATATGCCGATTACACAGAATTTGGGTAAAAAGTTGGGGAATGTTTATGGTTTGGTGTAAACGTCATTTTCGAGTTGAGGCGAATGAGTTTGTAATTTCTATTAACAATTTCGGCACT